TCCAGACAGAGTTCTCGTTGTCCAAGACTTCTTGTTGTACAACCAAAGACTGGCAGCTGGTGTTTATCTTTTCCCTTCAAGGCTCAGAGATTAGCAACTTTCTGGATAAGAGCAGCCTGACCATAAACTTGACTGCATTTGGACACAACAGTAGAGTTAGCCCAACCCTTCTTGCCTTAAATCCTGGTGCTCATTTCTCTTCCTTACTAATAAATGTCCTCTGTGGCATTTTTTTTCACCCAGAATAGGGCACTTTTGTCTGTATTAAAAGCCTATTTGGGTAGATAGCTTTTCTCTTCAATGATTTTCTTAATAGCGTATGGGAACTGGTCTGCTGTCTCTTTGTTGGCAGAAATTGCTTCTCTGGCTACCTAGATATGTTTCAAGCCAAACTTCTCTCTAAAATTATCAAGCTGTCCTTTGCTGGCATTAAATTCTCCAGCTTTACATCCTTTACCTTTCTTTTGCTTTAAGTGGTCATATGATGACTTTGCTTTTTCTCTAAACATATTAGAGTCTATAGGTATGGCTTTCTTATAGCAATCCTGCACCCACACTAAAGCTGCATTTTCAATACAAGATTAAAAGTATTTCATAAAAGCGCAAGATTTCCACACCTGCTGGTGTAGCTGCAGCGACTGCTTCACAAATTTCCTTTTCTTTTTTTACAGTGGTCCTTACACTGGATTTGCTTACCTTGAAATTGTAGGCAACTGCAGCTGCAGACCCCAATCTATGACATGTATCAGGTAATTCACGTTTTTCTTGTACTGTCATGACTTTTCTCTGCTTCTTAGGAGCACTTCCAGCACCACTATGGTGTGATTGAAGGTTTACTATATTGTACCAAACATGATGAAAAGTACAGGAGAACCCAAAGAGATCACTTTTTACTTTGATACACAATTCCTTAGCGTCACACAGCATTTAAGCAAATACTCACAGCAGGTGAATTCACTGCAATAGCCACTGTAGGTGGCTACAAAATTATTATAGTAGTACAGTATGTACTATGGTTCATTTTATGCAGCCATAACTTAATACTTTATTGTTACTTTTTAAATATTTCTACTGTAAATGGTGCCATGTACAGTCTCTTTGCATAAGTTTTAATAAATTTTAGCTTACTGTAATAGATTTGTGTCTATTTTATGGTGGTAAATCATGAAATAGGCTAGAACGTACATATATTTTATGGATTCATGACATACCCGTTTTTTCTATGCTACACAGTTTGTCTGCAACTTTTTTCAAACTGTTGCAAAATAATAAATAATTTTCCAATATATGTATTAGAAAAAAGTCCACATATAAGTGGACTCACACAGTTCAAACTCTTGTTGCTTAAGGGTCAATTGTACCATCTATTTTTAACACCCTGGAAGGAAATAAGATCAGGTTTCAAACAAAAGACTCAAGGTATAGCTCATAAAGATTTGGTAGAAGTAGCAGAAACCTGATCAAGCCAAGGTAATACTAGAGAATCTAAACTGACTTGTAAATAAGGAAGAACTGTACCTTGTCAGCATTCTACCTCTCTTGGCTCTCCGAATCCAGTGTCAGTTGCTCTTTCTCTCTGATTCAACAGAATCAAACTGAGCTTTCACAGACCTAGGGAAGAGGCTGAATGATTTGCCTGCTACTAACATGTTTAGAGGGAAATTCAAATCTTCTGGCTTTAAGTGTATCACATCACTCACCACTAAATTACTGACCATATTGTCGGTTCATGGCAAGTTTGAGTTGAGGGGTTCTTATTGATCAGTGACTATCTTTCAGTGGTCATTTCCCAGTTTTAGTTTCTGCCTAAACTTCCTTACTGGTCAGTCAGAAACTCAACACACTCTTGTTGGCTGGATTTATTCCCATCAAATGGGAAACACTTCTGGTTTAATAGGAGCTTGCTAAGAAAATGCAAGGGCAGCACAAATTGAGGAACAAGTACTAATCAACCCAATTTGGTGTGGATTTCCCATGAATAAAACCAAATCTAAGTTCCACAAAATATCTTGATGACTCATTTTTATGGGAGAATATGTTGTAGTCCCAGAGCTCTTTCTGTGGACACAAACACTCTTAGACTTCTGAAATAATTTGCCCTTTGTACAAGATAGACTCAGCTATAAGGAACTATAAGTTATTAAATTGTTATTAAAAGTTATTAAATTGTTTGACTAGTTATTCTACTTTGACACCGTGAAAAGTCTAATTCATAAGAGATTTTCAATATTTGAATAATTTTTAAAAGTTAATGGTTTTGAAAGTGTACTGTATAAAAACTAAGGGGAGGCTTTTTCAACTTGTGATTACCAAATGTGAGACCCTGTGAAATGGAACCAATAAGGCCCTGTTTTAAATGTCTATATTTATTGTCTATTTTATCCTGGGAACAGGGCCTAATCCAGAGACATTTTGAGCTCATCAAATAGGTAAATTGTTTTTCAAACACTTTAGGATTACCACAAAACCTAAATTGTTTTTAGCCAACCAAGCACTTTCTCTCTTTGGTTTCAAACGCCAATTGTATCTTTTTTTTCCAAGAAAATTTACTTCAGATGTTTCTGCTTCACTTGCACTTAAAAAATTAAAATGCTATTTTGCAAGAACTGATTGGTGTGCAAGAAAGCTCTTGAATCTCTTGTCTAAGCTTCTTTAAATCTGTTTTCTGAAACACATGAAGCCTTGCTTTGCCAAAAGTAAACCAAGTACAGTGGCACATTTGGGTTGAGAGTCTGATTTCAGAGCAAATCCAAAGCTATCCATTTTGAGAGTGGTGGATCAGGCAGAGACATCTCTTCCAAGGGCTTTGCTGAAAACCTGCTTCTAGGCCCAGGTATTTTTCCAACACAACATGCTGGAAGGGAGTGGTAAGGACAGAGAAGGTTTTATCACAAACTCAACTGGAGCTTCTCAGGCTGGTAATATTTATTGTTAAAGATATTCTTGCTTTAGTTGATTTTCAAGGATCACTAACACTTCAAGCTGAGATTTTTTTGAACTGTCAAAGTTCACATACATATTTCCAGGAATCTATAGCTCTCTATCAGGATTTAAGTTTTGGGGTCTGAGGGCAGGTGTGACTTCTATCAATAGTTTCTCAAAATTACTATAAGGATATTCTGGATCATCTGAATGACAATCTTGGAGCCAATAACCATTGCAAAAACACATTTTTGTTTGAGATCACTGTCTGATTATACCAACTAGTTATATTTTAACCACTCCTACTCGTGAGTAAGGCATTGATTGCCACCTCTCTGTCCAGTCCAACACTATCATTGTGAGGACTCAATGGAATAACAAAGGTAATGAAAATCTAGCACATTGGAAGCATTCCATAAATAGTAGGTACCATAATTTTGCAGACTTTCCTCGAACAAATGACACTCAACAGCATATAGCTCTTGCCACTTCTTAAGGTGAACCCATTAAAAATACTCTGTATCAAGTTATTACATCTAAGTGCAATATCATTGGCCCAGGTCATATCAGTTTCCTGAGTTTCCCTAGGAGGTGCTAAGAATGTCTCCCCTTGACCTTTTAACTGTGGGATTCAGAAGGTATCCTGTGGCCCTTAACAAATTCTCACCTGCACCCAGACTTATAGCTGTTTTTAGGGAAATTTAAAACACCAGCCATTGGCAATGAATATTCCTGGTGTCCATGAGGAAGGAGTGTCATAATACATATGTCATAATTCAGATTACTTCATGTTAAAAATAGAAACTCTTCTTAAAATTCTGAGGTTAATCAAGTGAGTTTCCCTGTCTTCAAGGGAAAAAAATCCTCCATGACTCTGAAAGTTTTCCCTCTGGCCTCCAGATAGAAAGAACTTCCCAGCCTTAAGGAGTTCCGGGGTTTTGACCTTAGTTACACTAAGGTCACACCACTGACAAAAGGCAACTGGACATAGACAATAAAAAGCCATTAATGAGAATTCTACTGGTTGATGCAATTGAACAAAAATATATTGAGCACTTATTATCAGTCACAGTGCTTGTTGCCATTGAAGACAGAAAACAGCGAGACCCAATATGGCACCTGTCCTCAAGTTAACTTGGCTTGAGGAAAGCAGATTAAATAGAAATACAATTAATAATGCAAGGCAGAATGTGAAAAATACCATGAGATACACATTAAAAGGTCTAAGGGATATGAAAGCATGTGAAGAACAGGCCATCTGAAATGCCTCTAAAAGAGTGGTAATATTTTAGAGTGAAGGATGATTCCATAAGTGAATAATTTGTTTTCTACTCTCAACAGTTTCCCAATTAAGGGGTCCAGGCAAAATCTTTGTATACCCAGCTGTTAGTGCCTGGAGCATAATAAATGCTGATTAATGTTGAATTAACTAATGGGATCATCAATAAAGTTTTTAAACTTAATTTATACTTGGAAGATACCAGTAAAGTTTGAATAACTGAATAAGTAAATGAGTACAGTACTCCAAATAAATTAACTTTTTGGGAAGATCACATCATCTACCTACTTATTTACCAGGGAAGGAAACTGAACTACAGAGAGCTTACTGGTGGGACTGGCCCTGCTCACAGGGCTGGAGAATGGCAGAGCCAGGACTGGAATCTCAGACCTTTGATTCTCAGTGGCGTTCCCACTCATTCCAGGACCTACCACTTTTTATTATCGTAATTCAACTGAATTCTGCTAAATAATCTCTAATTCAAATATTTATGATTTTATGTCAAAATGGAGCTTAACGATGTCAATTCCTTTATCTCACAACTGAAGCCAAATTGATTTCTCCACATCACCATGGCAATAGGTGACTACTCTGTACAGAAACCCAACTCCAGACAAAAGGACTTCATAACTGGCTGTGGGTCCTGCTGATCAGGCCAGGCTGGGAGAAGCTGGCATGGAGTCTGGGGCACCCCACCCCACCCCAACAGGGCCACAGTGTCAAGGGTACATGTCCCCCACAGAGCCACAGTGTTGAGGGTGCAGAGATGGGTGGAGAGGCAGCTGAGGGAAGCACAGGGTCACTGAAAGGATTGTTTTATTTCATTGAGTTTTGTTTCATTTTTTTACAACTGATATCCACATTTCAAAACAAAAGAATAGGACTTCTGGTAGATTTCCTCAAAGGCAACTACTGAGAGATTTGCCAAAGCCATTGCCCCAGGGGTTGGTTTACATAAACAAGGGCATTGGAAAGCCATGTAATCTAAACTTTTCTCTCTGGCCTATGCCAGCATTTTAGCTGCCAATAAGTAGACATGCTTTTTGTTTCCAAAAATAAAATGTGATTATACTCTTGCTACCCAAGTCTACCCTTGGCCACTCCACAGACCATCACTAAGAGAAGAGGGATGCACTTTGTGGTGTTGTTTTTGGAAAGCTCCTATTTAGAAAACTCTTGAGGGCATGCTGTCATGAAGGCGCTGGCTGCTGTGGACAGGCAGTGACCATCTAATGGAGCCCCTGGAAGTACCTTTCCTGCCAGGGACACATGGCTTCCATTAGTCAAGAGCTTACTGCTGGCTTTCTGACCTGCAGTTTCTCCCATTGTCTTACATACCCAGTGCTCCTCTAGCCTGGACGTGAAGGTAAAGAAGGAAAACCATGGAAAATGGAACACCTTTTGTAACTCTGAAAGATTAAAAAGTATCCTGGATTACTCTCAGGAAGGACTCAGAAATGTCAGCTTTCTCTTGAAATTATAGTAAATATGGGAAGTTCTGAAATTGCCATTTCAAATCATTTTTCTCTGCTCCTCAAAGAAGTCCACACTCTGTCTTCTACTCAGGGTGACCAGCTTGCCCCAATTTGCCAGGGACGTTCCTGCTTTAGTGCTGGAAGTCCCTTAATGGCCCACATACAAGGAATGCTTTTTACAAGTAATAAACATAGAAAAACAGGAAATAAGAAAGATGAACATCAGGCCAGCCTCCACTCCTGCAGGCACCATTCAGAATTCTCCAAGGAGGACAGAATATTGTCTTCTAGACTGAAAGTTAGAAAATGAGCATAAATATCAAGAGTTCTAATAATAGTCTATTGTGAAAGATTTTGAGAACCTTGCACTGAACATGACTTGTGCAAGAAATTTCATCATTACTTTTACATTTCTGAAGTTAATTTGCTTCTAAATGAGTAGTATCAGTGAAACGCTCATTCTGCATCACTTCAATCTCTGCTTCTCTTGTCACGCTGTACGACCTTCCTGCATTCCTCTTTCAAGGACATTGGGCCCCCTGGATAATCTTGGATAATGGCCCTATTCCAAGATCCTTAACTTAATAACATATGCAAAATTCCTTTTACCTTGTAAGGTAATATATTCATAGGTTCTGGGGATTAGGACCCGGACAGCTTTGAGGGGCCATTATTCTTCCGACCATAAGAAGGGAGAGGCTAGAGGTGGGAGGGGAAGTGGGACATGAAATGGTAAATCAAGATGGCTTGGCCTCTTCAATAGCAATAGGCAAGATTTCTCCCGAGACCTCTACCAGCTAGCTATTCTCCCTATATAACAGGAGCTAATGCTCCTCACAGGCATATTTCCATGAAGAATGCTAGACATTCCCTCCATTTCTTAAAGGTGGGGCCAAAATCTTCACCAAAACTCCAGCAGGCAGTTATACTTTTTTCTAATGTAGATATTAGAAACAAAATCACAAAACCGAGATGTATAGGAAAGAAGAGATTTAATTTGGGGGTTTAACATGTGAGTGGGTCATAGGTCCTCTTTTCATCAGTGTTATAGCTATGCTTCTGCAGAAATGTTGTAGATTTAGAACAACTATTTTATTCTGTTAAGGATAAACACTGCAGAAGAAAACATGGATACAAATGTACACACAAATTACAGAGTGGGACTTGCAGCACTCAGCATGTTGAATGGTACGGATAAAATGAGCCAGAGTTAGTTTATATCAGAGACCGATATAAAACAGAGTCCCCAAAGTTGGCCGACATGAGGGTTTTGTTGATGTCTTAGCAGAAGTTCAAGGATGCACTTGATCGTCCAGTCATGTGGCAGTCTGAGGCTTCCTTACTCTCCATTAACCCCGATGAGCTAAGCAACAGTAGACAGTGTCTTCATGCAAGGGGCACTGAGGACAGGCCTCCAGTCTCACAAAGCTACTTCCTTGCCCAGAAAGGAAGGAATCCTGCAGATTGGTTATAAAGATCTCTATACAGGGCATTTGGTGTGGAGATAAACATAAACCACGTTTTTCCCCCTATAATTATGTTTACAATCTTTTAAAAATTCAACTTCTGCAGTAAATCTAAGTGCCAACGTGAGAAGAGCTAAGCTGTCCATTTTCACTTTGCCAATTTCCACAAACAGAAACAAAGATTTTTTTCATGTGTGTAAGAATTCCCAAATTTAGTCAAGACTGGAATTTCACTATTTTTATTTTTATAGCAGCAGTGTTTTGCCCATGGGGTAGGAGGAATAAAGAAATGGAAAAAGAGACAATTTGCCATTAAAGACACGATTTGGGGGGGGTGAGAAGTTAAAAATCACGACATATTTTCGATTTTCTTCCTGAGTGATTGGGTCAGTTATTTGGTCAAGCTCATAGGAGGATGTCAAATAATGCTGATATAGGGGCCTTGAAAAATCACCTTTTGTTTTTGTGGAAAAAGGAGAGAGGAAATGAGGTGAAACTGTAAAATATTTCATTTTTTTTTTTTTATGAAACCAGCAAAAGAGAAAGTCCAGCAAAAGAGAAGGTCCTCTTCAGCGCCAGTGCAAATGTTTTTGCAAAGTTCAACTGCCAAGTGTCCCTTGATGCCTGCCAATTTTCATAATTGAAAGATACCTTTTTAAATGAACTTGCTGGTTTTCTATTGGGCTAGAGCAACCTTCCCACATCTGGGTCATTCTCTTTCCTCCAGCAAGACCCAGTTCCTTCAAGGACTTCAGTGAAGACCTGTGACATTAGAAGGCATACATACTGTCATGAGAACACAGTGCTCAGTGCCACATTTTAGACCAAAGGGATTTTTCATCACAGTTTAAGACTTTTTAGTACAAATTACATGGTGAAATGCAAACCAATAATCTCGAAGCAGTGTCAGACAATCAGTTCATACATAAGAACATAGCAGACTGGTCTGCTATGAATAAAACCAACTCTCGCCTTGTTATTGAACAACTTTGCATAAAACCTGAACTGGAAGAAAAACCAAAGAAGTAGAGTGAAGGCAAACACTAACATCTATAAGAAAACTATTATTTTTGTAGGAAAGGCTGCAAAAAGACACCGAAAGTGTGTTTTCATTGCACTTCATCAAGTCATTTAATAAAACTGCCATTCCTAACACACTACTGGCTACTTTGGAATTGTTTTCGCAGTTACTCAGCAGGAAACTAACATTTGAACTTACCAATCTTTTGAGTTGCAAATTCAATTTTAAACTTTTTATTTAAAAAGCCTCAAGAATATCTGTCACTCCAGGCAGAGGAATGATAATAACATTAAGTTTTATGAATTATTACTTTCCAATCAAGGGTGACAGACTTGCTTATAAGAACAGGGTGAGACTTTTCATAAGCAGTGGAGTTCCATCCAAGTTCTCCTGATTCTATTTTGCCAAAGAAAGGAAAAGGATATTACATTTTAAAATAAAATTCCTCCAAATAAAATCCTACCAATGCTTAATGTCTGTGAGTTCTTGTGGTGGCTTTATGTTGTAAATGCTAAGGTTTTATATTACTTATATAAGCTTTAGTCTCCAATAGAGCTGGCAAACAAAACCCAAGAATGCTGAAACAGCTGTAGTACTGTATCTGAGTTATTTGGACCAAAACAGGCATGGGGGTTCGAAGCCGGAACAGAGTTCTCAAAGCCCACTACAACCCTTAGCTTTTCATTTCAGCTTCCAGACAAAGAACTAGTGATGGCTGCTAATCTCATGAAACCCAGTGAGGCATACAAGTTGGATATTAAGGCAGGAGCTTGCTAAAATTTTTAAAGGGTCACTTCAAAGGAAAATTCCACGTTCTTAGAATTCAGTCCAATTCCTTAGAGGCTTCGATTCTATTCTTGCAAAGGGTGAATCTTACAGATATCCAAACAGCCAGTGCCAGTCAAGAAGAGATGTATTTTAAATACGAAAGCCACACAAAGATGGCTACAAATCCTCTACGTTAAACTGCATTAGTCTCTGCTTTTATTACTTCAGAGTCAGTTTCAGAACTGGCCTGAAGTTTGGCAATCAAATCAAGGATGAAAAGAATTATCATTTAAATAGTTTAAAACAAACTGTCTATTAGTCTTTTAAACGTAAGTTAGAAGTATTTCTCCATTTATAAATCACTGACATGTTGATCATAAATAATGCTTAGAGTGGCATTCTAATTATAAATAAGGCTCATCTGTAGATCTTCCAAGACCCCCTGCAAGGCAGCTGTTCTTTGCATACGTAATTCAAGTTACTCAGTGTGTGAGAAGGTGGTAAACTCTTTAGCTTTAAACGTAGTGTTTTAAAATATGTATCTCACAAATTCAGGTTGCCTCATTTCCATTAGCCTAAAAGAGTAAAATTGTTACTGCAGTCCTTTAGTGAACATTTATTCTCAGACTACCAACTCATTGTGAAATCTTAAGTAAGTTAATTCACCTCTCTGAGCATAAATGTATTCCTTTAGGGAAATATTAGTGCCCATTTGATTAATGAGTTAATGTATGTAACGTGCTTATTGAATACATGGATCAAGGTAGGCCCTTAACAAATGATAGCTATTATTGATATTAGCTGTAATCGTAAAAATGGAATATGGTAGATTCAGCTGATGTTTTAAGCCACTAATTTAGAATTTCTCAGATTTCTTGAGCCATAAATCTATAATAATTAAAAATGATTTTGACAAGTGCTCAAGAGGAAATAGGTCCCTTGTTTGCCAAAGGGACTTGGTAACTAAGGGCTGGGTATCAGTGAGGAAAGCCATGTGAGTGAGGAGATTCATAGACTCGGATGAAATCACATTCCACCACGGCCCTGGCCACCTTTTCCTCTATACTCCAAATATGTGGAGAATGATGGTCAACATGCTAATATGACAGCTTTGAAAGCCTTGTGCCCTTCACCTCAATTTTCTCAAAACATCAGTTTTCTTACTCTCCAAGGCAGCTTTCCAGCCAAGGAATCTATGAGCTAGTCAGGTAGAGGTAGTTAGGTCCGTAATCCAAAAGAATGTCAGGTTCCAGTGTCAAAAAGGAAGGGATTCTGAAGGCATTCTCGCATGCAGCACTGTCTGTCATATGGGAAGAAAGGTTTCGGTGGTGGGTGCTATGACTGTGTGTCTCTACGCAAAGAATTAGTGAGGGTCTTTTATCTTTAAGTAATTAATTGGAGAAGAGACCTTTTTTATTAAAACGTATCTCTTAGAAAGATATGTTTTTATATGTTACTGAGCTCTTTCTACATGCCAGTTATTGCTCTACATTCTACTGAGGAAAGAAGAGTGATAAGATGTGGGTTTTGTCCTCCACTTACAAATGCAGGTACCATGTGCAGGACCTGTTTCTATTTGCAGCTCCAAGTCTTAGACCTATGGTTATGCCTCTAACCTTCACCTAGAAAGAGACGTCATAACCCAACATAGAGCTCTGTTTTATGCTTTACCTTGCTTAGGAGGAGCTGTATTATATAAATTTCCTTTGCAACAAAGATATTCCTCTGTCAGGCAAAGGTTTTATTTCTTATAAGTGAGTTCAAACAAGCCTCCAGAGATTTGATCAAAAAGAAAGTTAACTTTACTTCTTCTCAATTATGGTATATATTTTAAAAGGGATAATTTTTTGAAATATAATTTTCCTTTTCTAGAAGTTCTTCCTCAGCTCTGCAACTTATTTGCTGTGAGAGATCTTGGCCAATTTGCTTAACCTCTTGTGCCTCAGTTCCTGCATATGTAACATGGGATAATAATGGCACCTGCCTATAGGGCTGTTGTGGGGCATAAATGATAAAAGACAGAAGTCTCTTGGAACAGTAACTGGCATGTAGTAAGCATCCAATAAAGATCAGCCATCATTATCATTGTTATTTTTCAATTACATTAATATTGGCTGTGGTATTCTCCTGCTAGTTTGTTAGGTAGACACGTTGATAGAATGTCACAGAAGAGTGAAGTGGTTCTATATGTATTGTAGTATCTCCTTAGTAGACCAGAATGCCATGAAACCCTTAGCCATACTATGTACCTTAGAGAATAAAACCACTGAGCAAAAGTATAAAAACTTTATTTTACCCCCACTTCTTCCAAGCACTTGCTGTGTCATTTTAGACAAGCCAATTGCTAGAATCAGCAGGTAAAAATATAGAATGCTCATCAAATGTAAATTTCATATAAGTAACATATTTTTAGTAGAGTATAAGTATGCCTCATACAAATAATAAAAAGTTATTCATTATTTACATGACATTTAAATTTAGCTGGGAGACTTGCATTGTAATTTGTTAAATCTGGCAGTCCTGAGCTTCAATCCCTTAATAGATAAAATAATGATACTGAATTAGGTCAGTGTTTTCCTAACCCTACAGAACGTTTTCTAGGAGATCTGTTTCAATAAAAAGAATCCATTCTCCAATTAATTAGGGAAATGCAACCGGTTGTTGTCCCCTTCTAGAAATTTACAGTATAAAGTAGCATATTGAATGTTACAAAAACCCTAGCAGTAAATAAATCTGCTTGACTTTGTTAAAGCCACATTTACTCAAATTATTTCTTCACAGGATTGTCTCTTTGCATTTATAAATACCTCTAGAACATGTTTTGAGACATGACAGACTAGATGATACCTAAGGATGTTTCCATCTCTAAAAGTTTAGGATTCTAAGGATCCAAGATTGAAATTATGCAGTCTTAAAGTACTCCCCAAAAACAAAATGTAAGCAATAATAATCTAGTTGGTACAAGGCATCATCCATTCAGTCAAAATTTCTAGTAAAAGTCAATACCTGGTCATGACTAGAGTAGGTGATGCTACCAGAAACTGAGAATAATGATCTTTTCACTCCATCTATTCAACACTCAACATAGTATCAAATACAGACAACTAAATAATGTTGAACATTTTGTTTGGCTGTAATGTCTTTCAAAGGGACATTGCATTCAGTCAGCATTGTTTAGAGAGAGTAATGGCTCAGCTGACTTCATTTTCCACCAAGGTTGCCAGGTGAGTTAAACTAAATTCTGTTCTTATTAATTCAATATAAGCTTAATAATAGTGGCTCGTTTAGGTGTGATTAAAATGGAATTTGAGAATTCCTTTTTAAAAACATTTCATTAAAAGGATAGAACTTGAAGTGATTTCAGTGAAAATGACAAAGTAATGACTTCTGAAAATCCTCTCCCCACCCCATAAAAGCAATGAGAAAACCAGCAAAAATGGTCAGAATTAACTTTTTCAGAAGTCTAGAAAAGAACCAAAAGCTTGCAGCAATCCAGAGTATTTATTCAGAAAAATGGCTGAATCTCAGTAAGCTCAGAGAGCTTTGTGGCATTTTAACTTATCCTATTCCAATCCACTCTACCTTCTCCAGCTCCACAGTAGATATAAAATCAACAACCCACAATTACAATGAAAAGCAGCAGCATTGTAGTCACTGGAAAGGGCAAAACAAGGTTGGAGTTTCTTCAGATCCCCATTCCCAGAAAATTATAATGATTTGAGCTCTCTGGAGGTTCCCTGGAAGACCCTATTCAAAAGGTTGTCCTTATATGATCTGCTTCAGGAGTTATCTAATGCAAACAGTCTTTTCCTCCCGGGCATTTGTTGAAAACAATCTTGAATATGGCAGCTCCTTGAAGCAGTAAGACACAGTTGATACAAACAATACATTAACCAAAGGGCTGCAAAGGAAAATCTGAGATGTTCATAGGGAACTTTGAAAAGCTCTGATATATTCCTGGGAATCTAAAAGG